AGGAGTTGTGTTTGGGCATTTCCTGACAAATTTTGGGCGTAAAGGATTTGTTTGATTTTTATAGAATTTTTTATCAGGAGTTTGGCATATTCGTTCGGCCATTTTTGCTGAAATTAAAAAATTTCAAAATTTAGCCGAACAAAACTCCTGTTAAAAAATTCTATAAAAATCAAATAAATCCTTTACGCTCAAAATATGACAGGAAATGCCCAACCACAACTCCTGTTAAAAACGGAACTCTAAATTCCAATTTTAAAAGGTCCATCAAGGAAGATACATTTTGGCACACCCTAATATATTATATATATATATGTATATATGAAAAATATACCAAAAATGCATGTAGGTACTCAAATGACAGCTCTTGATGAGAGTAACACCATGATGAGCTTATATCATTAAAAACGTCAATATTTAAGAAATTATAGTGCAATTTAACAAATATCTTGTGAACCATTGACATTTTTAAAGATATAAGCTCATTCCGACATTACACTCATCGAGACCTTTCATTTGAGTACCCACATCAATTTTTCATATATTTATATATATTATATATATGTATATATGAAAAATGCATGTGAGTACTCAAATGAAAGCCCTTGATGAGTGTAACATCGGGATGAGCTTATATCTTTAAAAAAGTCCATAGTTAAAAAAGTATAGTACAATTTAACAAAAGTCATTATTTAGCAAGGTTGCTAGTATTTAATAAATGAATATCAAATTTATTAAATACAAACAAATAATTTTAAATATTTGTTTAATACTAAAAAGTGGTCTCTAATAAATGATTTGTTAACTATTAACAAATATTATTTAATACAAACAAATCCTTCTATCCGTATTCGTAAAAAGTGATATGATTTAGAATAAGAAAAATTAAAGTTGGACAAAGGCCCAAGGGTTTCGTGAACAGTTTCAAGTGCATCGTCACTATGATTATTTTTAGAAGCCCCAAGCGTTTCAAACTTTCTGAACAGTAAAGACTAAATAAAATAAAGAACTAAACAAAAATAATAAAAATAAGTACAAGTAAAGCAGAATAAGAGTAAAACGATTGTAACATGAACGTCACAGCTGGAATGCACATGCGCACTTACCCCGAGACGCCATTCAAGCTCCAACATTTCTCCCTGCTTCCATTCCTATCCGAGATACTTTCTGCCTGTTTTCTACTATAGCTATACCTATATCTATGGATATTTTTTCTTCTACCCTCTACTCTACTAGAGTCTGGTTTCGCTTGCGCGACTTGGCCTTTTCTCTTACCAACACTATAAATGTTGCATGCCTGACCTAATGTCTAAATATATATGCATGTATGAGCTTTTACATGCATGTATTTCATAAAAATCGACATAGTAATTCTAATTATTAAAAAAAATTTTTTTCAAAAAATTTTAAAAATTTTAAAAGATAATTAATAAAAAAAATTTTTTTATGGATCAGTTGCGGTGAGAGACATGCAGTCTCTCAATCGCAGATTGAAATAGCTCTGTCGAATATGTGATGTATATTCGAATCTTTTTCTATTCTCGCGTTTAGTTGGGATAGTAGTGGAGGTCCGTGCAAATATACACACATCGTAATGTTGGATTATAGTAGTATAGGGTCGGGTCGAGGACTATGGGTGGGTCCGAGAGATGAGGGTTCATGCTATGCTGGGATGCTCGTAATCTCGTCGGATCGCATATAGCACAGACCTTACGAGTACGGCCGGCAATAGGGACGACTTGAAGAGGCGTTACCATGGTTACTGTTGAGTACTGACTACTCTCTCTTGCTCCAAGACTCCACGAGATACCCTGTTTCAGTTGTTCTATATATTTCTGTGATCATCATGCTTACTATCCTCTTGGGCCCACTACTTTTTGATTCTTTTCAAAATTATTTTCATTACTACCGTCTACAATAATATTGTGTAAATCTTCATAACATTTTTTTTTTAATTTTTATATTATTTTAATGATTTTGTCTTTATGATTTTTTTAAAGTAATTTATAACTTATTCTCTTTATCCTTAAAAAATTTGTCAAAAATAGTTATATCAGTTTATTGGTTCGAAAATATCTTTAATCCAAAATTGCTCTTCTTGAATACTTTATAAGATGAATGTTGTCAATAATTCTGAGTAGAATCTACAGATTTCTTGGTGTAATTTTAGCAATATAAAGTGACAATATTGAGAATAATATTGATAGAAATTAAGAATTCATTTTTGCTAATTAATCACTGCTTGTGATTAATATCAGAAATTTGTTCATTGTTACTAAACAGAAACTCAATTTATATTTTTTTTTTAGACTTCTACATTTTTTTATTGATTTTTTAAGAAAAATTGTAAAATGTAAATTTAAAAATTCAGATGAGCTTACATCTTTGAAAATATCAATAATTAAGAAATGACCTTGTATCTTGTCAACTACTGACATTTTTAAAGATATAAGCTCATTCCGATGTAACACTCATCAAGACCTTTTATTTGAGTAATATCAATTTTTCATATATTTATATGTATTATATATATATATAGATGAAAAATATATCAAAAATGCATGTGGGTACTCAAATGAAAGCTTTTGATAAGTGTAACATCAGGATGAGCTTAAATTTTTAATAATGTCATTATTGAAGATAGTACAGTGCAATTTAACGAAAGTCATTACTTAATAAAGTAAAATTTTATTTATTTATTTATAGTTTACAAGTCACGGCAGTCACATAGTAATTGCAAGGTTGCTAGTTATAAATAATTAAATAATTTATTTAAAAATTTGATAAAATAAAGAAAGCTTATTAAAACTGATTTAAATAAAAATATGTAATGTCTGATTACTTTTGGATTCGATAAACAATCCGCTGGAGCAGGATAATTAGCTTGCATTCTCTTTGCATATTTTCATCATTGTTCTCACTGGCTTCAAGCAATGTACGTAATTGGAGTGTAATACAATCATGAGTATGGGGGAGATGAAAGATGAAAAGCGAAACTGATTGGTTATTATCACAATGAACGTTGTGGATCTAAAAAGTATGCTTCTTTTTACATTCCAATAAAATACATCAGTTTAAGAAATTTTTTTAATATTATTAAGGGAATAAGAGAGATGTTGACTGACAAATTTTAAATTTAAATTGATCAGACCCTTGAGAAATTCATTTGAATATTGAACAAGTAAACTAAAAAATCATTTATAACGAGCAATTAAATTTTTTCCAGCCAAATCGTTTTTATATTCATGCACACTCTCAAGCTGAATGGCTAGTAAGTTGTTGGAAATAATTTTTTTTTTTTTTTTAAGTACTTGAGAAGAGCTATAGAAAACATTTTAACCGAATAAATTAATATGAATACAGCCCGTATAGATTGGAAAAAAAATAAGAAAAATGCTGTAGTACATTTATAGACATTATGAGTTTTATAAGAAGTAAATAAAGGTCAAATCGTATTATTAAAAAAAAAAAAAAAATACGAGTTAGATTTACGTGATAAAGAAAAAAATAAATTTAAACCGGCTACTGAATTATAATGTTCGTACACGCTTATTCTCTATCCTTTTATAAATTTTATTTTCTTCTTATCTTGAGAACAAATGCTCGGGTGGAAATCCTAAGAGAAAAGACGGTGGTAATTTGATTACACGAGTTTAACTTTACTTGTATATTCAGAGAGATGAAGATCATTCACAAGTGAACTAACTTATAAGCACAACTTGTTCACTTCTAGATTCTATTTAAAGTTAACTCTATTTAATAATTTCATTATTCATACATACATACATATATAATACAAATATATATGTTTATTCTACTCACGTTTTGCTACGAAGATATTTGTACAAATTTATAGACCAAGCACTCGATTGCGTATGAAACAAGTGATAAATTATTTTCTATTAACAATTGATACAAAAGAAGAAATAGTTAACACCCCCCAGAATTAAATGTTTGACACTACAATGAATAAAAAATTAACTTAAACTAAGAGATCAATTCTTGAACCAATTGAATAATTTTGAAGAGTTGCATTATCTTGAATCAAGACAAAAATTCTCGAATTAAGTAAAATTTACTTAAACCAAGAAAAATTTTGTAGTTCAAGCTTGATTAGAAAAATTACAATAACTATAGCAACTTTGCAGCCACTATGTGACTGCCGTGACTTGAAAATTATAAATAAATAAAATTTTGCTTCATTAAATAATGACTTTTGTTACATTGCACTGTATATTCTTAACTATAGACGTTTTTAAAGATATAAGCTCTTCCAGATGTTACACTCATCAAGAGCTTTCATTTGAGTACCCACATGCATTTTTGATATACTAGAATTCGAATTTACGCGCGCAAGCGCGCGCTTTGACTGTAGAGTTTGCATATATTTTCATGCTTATGATATATTCGACCAATGACGTTACGAATAGTTTGATGCCACATACATTTCATCTCAATTTTATTATAGGATACATATATACATATATGCATATAAATATATGAAAAATTTATGTCAAAAAAAACTTCAATCAATTTGACAACTATTCCCGCTCATCCCGGGCAGGGCCGATTTTTTTTATATCTTTTTTATTTAATTGAAAAAAAAATTGTCAAACTTCCTGAAGTTTTTTCTTTTTAATTTTTCTGAAGTTTTTTTTGAGAAAAAAAAATAAAAAAATAAAAGTGGCCAACTTTGAAAAAATAACGATTTTGTTAAAAAAAAACCGATTATTTTATAGAATTGATCATATTTGATTTTTTTCGTGAAAAGTTCATTCAAAAACAAAAATTAAAAAAAAAAGGTACTCAAAGGTCAATGTCTAGAAAAGTTATGGCTATTTGAAAATAAAAAAGCCACTTTTTTTGGAAATTCATAACTTTTTTTTGGGTTGGATGAAAAAATTCTCAAAAATGTTTTTCAAAGGGTAGAAAAGAATGATAAAGTTTCAACTAAATCTAAAGGGGTAGAGTTCAAAAGTGGTTGATTTGGCATGGAATACCCTATATATATATATATATACAGGAAATACCTGAGCCTCGAGAAGTTCGCTAAAATAGCATACTATAAGTACGTTTAAACTTAAAGAAAAAAATATCATGATATAAGATGTCATATTTGCGAATTCTTTTTTTTCTAGCATCTACAATTTAATTGTTTGTAAGTAATCAATATTTAATTATAATGTAAATGTCAAAATTATATCCATACCCTTAAAACGCAAAATTCATCTATACAAAGAAGAATAGAAGAAGCACCAACTTCGATTAGGCATAATTCAAATATCATTTTTTTCAGAAGATTATTCGAAAATCTAAAAGAAATAAAGATTAATTTACCATACTGAGAAAAAAAATTTCTTTTGAACAATATGGGCATTCTTGTTGAAAATAATTTTTCTAGATTTGGAAAAAAAAAAAAAAACAAATTTAGATAGACAAATTGAGAATTTTCATCCAAAATTGTTTTTTTCCAAATTAAAAAAACTTATTTTCAACAAGAAATTAAAATTTTGATTTCTTCAGCTAAGAAATGAAATTGTTGAAAATTTCCAAAAAAAAATTTACTGTGAAAACAATTTTGATTTCTTCAACTAAGAAATAAAATTGTTGAAAATTTCTAATAAATTAATTTCTTGTCACAAAAATTTTCATTTTCTTTTAAAGAAATATTTTCTCTCAGTGCATAGGATAGAAATATTTACAAGATTCTAAGGGCCAGTTTTTCAATCCAGAATAAAATTTTATCCAATGATGAAATATATCTATATATTTCATGTATAGGTATACTGGCAACAATAATTATATTTTTATCCTGGATTGAAAAACTGGTTTTAAGTGTATTAAAACTTACTCAAGCACCCTGACATGACGACTGATTGTAAATGACAATTTTGTGTAAGAAAACTTTTCTTTTTTGGAAAAATTATTTAACAATGAATCGATTTGATTCGTAATTATTTGGAGTTGGCTGCAAGCATGAGTAACCAAAACTACTATTAAATTACAAGAGGTGATAAGAATTGTATAGGTAGATAACGCAGTTAATTGATGGAAAACATAAGTAATTTGATAAATCGGAAATGAATCGACGTCAAATACACTATTGTAGCCAGGAAAAATAACTATTCGTTCAGAAGCATTTCGATCATCACTGTTAAATAGAAGAGGTATCACATGAGGCATAAAGCAATTATATAACACACAACTTATATACATCATTACTGCAAATACAAAAGTTATGTTGTTACTCATGTCCAAGTTTTTTTCCATAATATCTTCTTCTTCCTGACTTCCAATCATACTCCAATCATCAATTATATGTTTAGTGAACTTTTTTATGGTGTCATGACGATATATTATGGCTTTCATTTGAGTACCCACTTGCATTTTTTATATATTTTTCATATATACATATATATAATATATATTTTGAAGATATAAGCTCATCCTGATGTTATACTCATCAAGAGCTTTCATTTGAAACTTACATGCATTTTTGATATATTTTTCATATATACATATATGTAATATATATAAATATATGAAAAATTGATGTGGGTACTCAAATGAAAGCTCTTGATGATTGTATCATCGGGATGAGCTTATATCTTTAAAAAAGTCATTAGTTAAAAAAGTACAGTGCAATTTAACAAAAGTCATTATTCACTAAAGCAAAATTTTATTTATTTATAGTTCACAAGTCACGGCAGTCACATATTAAGTTTGCAAAGTTATAAATAATAACACGGAATAGTGTAAAACAGTAAATTACATCGTGTTAAATTTACACGAGTGAAAATTTCACACGGAAATTTTACACCGACTTTTCACATTTACACGACGGTGTAGAAGTCTCTGAGTCCAACTTTTACACCGAAATTTTTTAGTGTACATTTATCATAATATTGATGTTTTTCATAAGGTAGTGGAAATTTCAAATCCGAAAAACTAATATTGACTATTTGATATTTTTCTTCCATTTCTTCAATTATTTCATTTGCACATAAGCTCGCATCATAACAAACAGTCTTCCATAATTTACAGTAAAATATTAAATTATTATCATTAACGAAAATATTTTTCTTGTAGGTAAAGTGAAATTCAAACTCTGATACTTCATAAACTACACTGCTCAGAGTTAAAGCTTCATCAGAGTTTACTTCATGATATGGAATATTGTCAAATAAATTTCCAAGCTTCTCAAATTTTCCTTTTCCGAGTTTTAAAATATTGTCATTTTCGTTCAATTCATTCCATTTGTAGTAAATGAATTTTTGGTGCTGAGTGGCCAATATTTTTGGAACATTGATATAATTTTTGTATAGAAAAATTAAGTTTTTGAAGTAATTATGCTTAGCTTCAAATTGCTTTTTACGTGAAAAAAATTTTAAATATCAATATCTTCCTCTTTTATTATTTTTTTTATTATTTATTTCCAATTATTAAAGATGTACGGTTCGATTATAAATATTGTGTTAATTAAAATAAATTTATACCGCCGGAAAATTTATAACACCGTTTAACACCGTTTTAACACCGAAAAAAATATTTACACCGCAAACGGTGTTACATCGGTGTTATTATAACACCGATTTCGGTGTTAAATTTAACACCGGACTTACACCGGTTTTTTTTTACAGTGTGAGTTATCGTTGACGAAAGAAAACCGAAAAAAGCGTTTTTTCGGAATTACTCCGAATTTTTCCACTCTGTCGATATAAACTCACAGATTTACTATGAAGCTTAAAAAACTGCGTCGAATGCTGCCAACCGCGTGAAAATCGGTTCATTCATTCAAAAGTTATTGCGATTTGAAAATTAAAAAAATAGTGTTTTATCAAACTCCTATCAAACTTTTGAGCTCGAAGAGCTCAAAAGCATACAAAATTTATTTTTTTGAGCTCAGAGAGCTCAAAATAATACACAAATTGTATTTAAGAGCTCGAAGAGCTCTAAAACGTCATAAGTGCAATCTCAAGCGTTTAGGTATAGAATTGGCGGGAAGTTGCACGGATGGCCTTTAGGGTCAACCGTTTTCCTAGTTTTTTTTTTTAAAAAGACTACACTGTAGATGATAAATTTCTAAAAGCTGAACAAAGTTTTAAGGAACTTGAATAAAGTTCATTCAATTAAAAAAACTGATAATATTTTTTCCGCACTGATTAAAGCATTTAAAATAGTATTATGGGATTTTTTTTTAGTGCAAAATAACATTTTTCGCTTCTGTTAGTTAACGTGAATAAATAATATTCAACACAGCGTAAACATGATATATTTACGCACCAGTGGCCGGGAATCATTAACGAGTGACATGGACCACGTGAACGTTGGTCTCTCGTCTTTCCTGCTACTGTAAATGAAATTTTCGGTACGGTACGCTAAGTTTCATCATCTCTATATTCAACAACATTTTTTCTTATGACTCTCCAGATCTACCGGGTGCTGGGTCTGAAGTTCTGGACAGAAATTTACGAGCGCTTTCATGCATAAATATGTCTTCTAGTAATTCCTTACTAAAAATAATTAAAAAATTTCTACGAAAAAATAAATAATAATTATTTTAACAATAATTTTTACCCAAGATATTTTTACCAATAAAAGTAAGTTAAACTAAAAAATTAGCTATCATTATGAAGAAAATCTCATAAATGTTGGACAGTAGCCAGTAAACTTAAAAAACTAATTCAGCATTTGAACGCATCTGGCATTGGTCAAATTCCATTTTCTATTGCTCATTCTTTCTTTGAAACACGATTCTATTTTATAACATTCCTATCTTCTATCTTTTCTTCTTTATAAATTCTTCTAGTAAAAAGCTTTTCTGGACATTGAAAACTTTAAATTAAAACAAATAAAATAAAGTTAAAAAATACTCATAAATTCACTGTACTGATAAATAAATAAACTTAAAGAGTTTAAATCTTAAGCCAAGAACATCAAATGTGAATTAATCAAAAAAATTATTTAAAAAAAATTCTTAGTTAAATAAATTTAAATTATTAAAAATTTTAAGAATTTATTTCTTCGTCACTAGTAGCTTTATGAGTAATTTATATTTTTAGTAATTTAAAGTTTTCAATCAGCGCAGTAAGTATCCAGAACTTTTAAGTCTATATATAAAACTATCTTACTTAGTGGTCCAATAACTTTGTTGGATAATCCAAATAAACAACCGCACGTACGTCTGTGAATTGCCGCACATATATTGCAGTAGCGGATAAAGACCAGAGACCACCAAGTCCAGTGATTAATTTTTAAGTACCTGAAGTATTAAAGTAAAGAGTAAATAAATTTCGAATAAGTTCAAAGCGTCGATTTATGTACCTATTTGAAATAATAAATAATAATTTATACCTGTATGTAATAATCTACCGTGTACCTACAAATTGTTTCGATTGAAAAGTAAATAATCAATGTTCAATGTAATCAACCTTTAACGCAGCGCTTACTTACGCTATTTATATTAAATCAGCTTGCTAATCGTAAATCATAATTTACGGCCTGTTTTATGATCCGGCTTTCAATTAAATTCAACATATAAGAGTTTAAAAAATAATACTCTTGCAGTAAGAGAAAAAATTTTATATTAAAATTAGGAGAAATTTGAATAATGGTAAAGTTAGCCGTCGTTTTTAATTTCTTAACTTTTTTTTTTTTTATTAAATTAAAACAAAAAAATATTTTTTAAAAATTGCACTGATAGTTTTTTAAGTTTATTAACAAATCTAATTTTTTTTTTATTTTTTTGTAATAATTTCTTCAATAAAAAAAAATTATAAAAATTTTGAAATGTCGGCTAAATTAATTTTCATGAAATTTGGAAATTTTTTGTAAATTATAAGTAAAAAAATATTTAAAAAAAATTAAAATTTAGAATTTAAATAATTTTTTTATTATATTTTTTCAATAAAAGATTTCTAACTTAATTTTTATGAAATTTGGTAATTTTTTGTAAATTATAATAAATATTTTTTAAAAACTCAAATTTAGAATTTTAAAAATTTTTTTCGAATTTTTTAATTGTTTGTTTTCAATAAAAGATTTCTAACTTAATTTTTATGAAATTTGGTAATTTTTTGTAAATTACAGTAAATATTTTTTAAAAATTCAAATTTAGAATTTAAAAAATTTTCTTCTTGTCAATTTTTTCTTTTAATTAAAAAAAAAAAAAAAATAATTCTAAAAATGTTCAGTTGTCGGCCATTTAATTTTTATAAAAATTTTAAACGTGACAGCAAGCCATGTAGTCTGTGATAATACCGGAAGCTGTGAGCTAACCTATTGCGGGTGGTCGGAAACTATACGGTCTACCTTATCGACAGCAGTTCACGGAACTAAGAAGTAGGAATTATTTTTGCCAGAATTAAAAGTCACCCGACAGATGGCGCCACTGCCTTCTGGCCGGTGGAGAAAACAATGGAGGAAAGAAAATTTTAAAAATTATTAGCATTATTTAGTATGACAAAAATAATTATTTTAATAATAAAATAATTATTATAAATAAATAATAATTATATTAATTGTTTATAATTATTTTTAAGCTCCTTGTATTTTTTAATTCGAGTTAACTATTAGTTGAGATGTTTAACATGCAAATTGGAGTAAAATTGACTGATTATTATAACTGGTGCCCGTAACTAGAGCTTTGCTTTTGGAAAATCATATTCACGTAGACATACCCATATTTCCCGTTCCAGCTGCCTCCATTCGTAATTCAGCTCGCTATTCATAAGTGATCTTCGATTCTCTACGCGGGAAATTATCTGCATCGAATTTATTAATGAAAAATTGGATGAGTGATTGCCGAGACTAAAAATCCGCGCGGTCATGTTGCCGGTTGAAGACGTTGTGCCGTTTGAAATTTTTTGACTGAGGATTTCGGGTAACGAAGGAGTGGGGGGCGACGGCATTTTTTCCCGCGAAAAAGTTTCAATTCAAATTTTAAAAAGTTTTTTACAATTATTTTACTTCTAACTAAATGATTTATCGAATAGAAAAATTTTTTTATTCATTTTTTTAATTACAATATAAGTTTATTTATTCATAATACAAAAGTTAGCCGACGTTTTTAATTTTTTTTCATTTATTAAATTAGAACTGAAACATGTTTTCTAAAAATTGCACTTGTAGTTATTTATAACACTGAAGTTAGCCGTAAGCAGTCAACAAAAATTTTTTTACACTGATAGAGGGCCAGTTTTTCAATCCGGGATAAAATTTTATCCGAGATAAAAGTACCGCCAATAAAATAAAAAAAATAAAATAAATAATTCAGCGACGTGATATTGCTCTCAATTAGT